CGGCTCGGGGGCTCGAGGCAAAAGCCCCCGTGAGCTGAGGAAAAATTGACCTCGCATGGGCTCCCCTTCCTGCAAATTTTTGGGGCCACATCCGACACACGCAGAGCCTCTCAGGCATGAGCGGAACGAGGAAATTTTCGTGAGGGGGGTGGAGGGGAAGGGTGGCACAAAAAGACACTGTCGCCTTCCGGCCAAAGTATCACAAACGCCATGAGACGTTTCAAAATTTTCCCGCCATTTTATTTATTTATGACACTCCATTTAGGGAGGATCTGCTGGTTCCACCCTCCCCCCTCTGAAGAAGGGTTTCGCTGGCATGAAAGTGGATACGGGGAGCTTCCCCGGCAAATTTTGAAAAGTTAATTCGTCTCAGGAGTCATTTTGAGTTGCTTCCATCAAAAAGTTGATCCAATCACAATTTCAAAGATGAAAGATATGTCATGCACATCACTCAATAAAACGCACTTCTTTGGGGGGAGGGGCTGAGCAGATTTCTGGGGGAGCCAGGCCCTCCTATTTCTACCTATGCACTCCCTAAAATCACTTTTTGAGGGGGGGCTGACCCCCTACAAAATTTGGGACCAGTTTGCCCCTGCCAGTGAGGGGAACCCGATTTGCCATGGACATAAGTACAGCTTCCTCGCAAGATAATGAGGGCTTACTGGTGTTGTATCGAAAATGACATACATATTTACCCACTTACTACTCGCCTCAAACCCCTGTATTCTGCAAGTAGTGCAAATTTTGTTGTTACAGAGGAATTATTCCGTTCATTCCTTGAGACCGCCACTTGGATGGAAACTTGAACGGAAAGTTGAAAGTAACATCACATTCTAGTTTCCGTTCGACTTTTAATTCGATCTGTGTGTTTTCGTACTAGTATCACACATTTCATCTTTTCATTCGACAAAAGCGGAGGAAAATTTTGATGAAAAGTTGAACCGCGTGAGTTGGGCTTTACTCTGAAAATCAAGGTCTTGTTAGCAGTCACATGGAGCACGGGGCAGCCTACCAAGCTATTTTTTCCATTGCAATTGATGTTCATTTGATCGTCATTCAATAACAAAGTAATTCTCTAATATAGCATGAGAAATTATCAGGGACGGGCTTCACTAGAAAAAACTAGGATTGGGCTTGTGACAAATGGAATAGAGACTTGACAAAACAAAGAGGACCTCATAAAAGCAGAAAGATGATTATCTCCATAAATTTTAGTATTAAGTAAATGAGAGAACCAAGTTCAAAATTTTACTACTGAGGTAAACATTTATCAACAGTGAGATATGGGAGGGCATGAGCGACCATATCTTCCCTCGGCATCAACGTGCCTTGCTACACTACTACTTACCAGTAAAACTGCTTCTAATGACTGATGTAGATGGTCTCCGAGTATTTTATTACGGTTATGAGTGATGAATATAGAGGATCAAAGGTCTCCAATTTGCTAGGTAAAATCTCGAGGTCCTGATCACCTGTATACGCTCTCCTAGACATTTCACTGAGGAAAGTCGAGAGTAGTATTTATAGAGAATGCCCTGTGTTTGTTGAATATTGTCTCAAAACTTGGTGCAAAAAAATATGGTACCACTAAAGAGCGAATTCATGATCCCTTAAGAGAACTGAGCTTAGGTTAGAAATAGTGATTTAACCCGATAAGTAAGTGGAAACAGTGCACGTTGCCGCAGTGACATGTTTATTAGATCGACACTTTGGAGAGAAAGTTGATGAAAATAAGGAATATCAAAAGGGGGAAACTATAATGTTAGGGCATCCGCAGAGATAAGATGTGATATTTACATGCTGAGTTGTTAATAATATCACATTAAATGTCCTCCCAGATATATAACCATCTATTAGAATGGTTATGTAGTACATTGTAGTAATGCACAGCAACATTCTAAAGATGACAGTCTTTACATAGATTCATTCCAACTTGGCCATTTAAATGTCAAAAATTTAATGCAATTGGGCCTACTTACCTACATAGAATCGAGCTCAAAGAATATCCATTAATATCCCATGAAGAATTTGGATTTCACAAAACTGATCATGAATTACAAGTAGGTAAACAATTTTATCAACATTTTAACACGAACACAACATTTGGAGCATTACAAACAGCAGGATGACACGCGAAATGTTAGTTAAAATTCATGTGGAAGATTCTACTTTCAACCGAGATGAGAACCATCAGTCTAGGATTCATCGTAATCAACGCAAAAGTTATCAATAATTCAGTCTCCTACATTGTCTCGAATAAGATTATTGATAGCAAGATAAAAGTGTGTAATTATTTACTCCATCAGCTGTTCAAGTGACCCTGACGAGCAAGGAGGTTGGAATAGGAACTCTGCAGCGAATCGACTTGAAGGAATATGGCATCGAGACAGGTGTACAGGGTGATCCAAGGTCAAACTGTCAGACTGAGGTCCGAATATGTACCGAACCAGACTTTCGTCTTTTATGCAATTTCTTTCCTAAAAGTTTTCCCCTCATAATGTAACACCCCGGTCCCAGGCACCAATTTTCAACTTCAACCATAGCGCGTTTTTCCTGCATTTTGGAAACGGTAACGAGCCAACATTTAAATCTCATAACAATGTGCATTCAATAAATTTACACTTACGCTTAATTAATTTATGACATTAGAAAAATCGATATCTCAGATATATGTGAAATGCCGGAGGGATCGCAAAATACCATCTTTGCATGCCAAAAAAGCAAATTATTGGACTCTTCATCTCCCCCCCCTACCGGAAGCCGGAAGTCAAAACGCCTTCATTTCCGTGCTTATACGACACGGACATCTATGGAGCCCGAATAGTTGCATCCAGGGAGTTAGAAGGAAATTTGTATGGCGTTCGTCGCATTCAACACTTATGAGGGCGCTTTTCTTGTTTTTCTTCTTCTGCTGTGTGTTTTCTTCGTCCCTACGAGTATTCTATTCCTCTTTTTTATCGCGACATTTTCAATCTTCCAAAAAAGTAATGCTTTATTTATTTGAATTAATGACAATGTTGCCGTCTCAAGATGTAGGCTGCGCGCTGCGCCCCTATCTTCTCTGTTCTGAGAACGGTAAATGCGGCAAAGTCGTTCTGTTCACCTCAAGAAAAATTCGAGCGTACATCTCAACATAATTGTAAATTTTTTTCTCGCCAATTAATAAGAAAAGTCCAGTCAGAAATGCGAAATCAACCTATATATTTAATTCAGAGCCTGGCGAGGCAGGACACAATCCGCGTGGAAAATATATTGGTCTTACGTTTCAGGATCATTTGGAAAAATCCTCAACCTATCGCTGCACTTAAAGAAAAAAAAAAAAAAAAAAAAGTGAAAATTGGCCTGACAGAGTGACAGATATCTAGATCTCACTGGCACCGGAAATAGCTTATTTTTTGAAACACTTAGATCAATAATATTCTACTAACAGAGAAGAGAAAGCAAGGAAGTTTTCAAGAAATTACGTCAAGTAAATAGTTTTCCAAAGAAAAGTTGAAGTATGACAGGAAATCTGGCATCGTCGCAAACCGACGTACGTGGTTTTGCATTTGCACCTTGGTCATCGAATTACACTTTTGGCTAAACTCGGAAATTTTTAATATCGGGTGGCGATGTTGCAACTTCCCGATCGCGCTTTATTTATTTATTTTTTAAAAAGAAAACCTACTTCAGGGTTCATCTTCAAAACTCGAAATTTTCTTCGCTTACTCAAAAATATTTTCAAAAAAATTCAAAGAAATATCTATGTTGGTTTGCTTAAAAAAAGAATATTCTTAAACGTTGCAATGGAGGTCCTCACTTTTCGACTTCCGCCATCGGTAATATTATACCAATCAACAATCGTTTCCAGCTATTAATTTTTGCAAGGATAGTTTTTTTTATTTTATTTCAGACACCTCAAAATGCCTAGGAATGATGAAATTTCAACCTTTCTTTTTTCTTCTTTTTTCCTAGTCTGTTTTTTTTTTCATGACAATACTTCCTCAAATCGCATGCAAGGGGGAGCAAGAAAGTAAAAACAAAAAATGAAATAAAAAATTGTTATACAGCACGATATTTGCAAAAAAATTGACTGGATCGTCATATTTTTGGCAGACATTTATAGAATACAAATAAGCCACAAAAAAGTAAGCCCGCAGATTCACCTCTTTCCATTCATTACGGTGAAATGTTCTTGTTACAACGAGTAGAATGCAACACGCTTCGCTCCTCGCGCGTCGTCAAACCAAGGTTGCCCGGTTGTGTAACCAATCTTGATATTTTACTTCGGTAGATTGCAGATTTCTAGATTTTCAACTCAATCTGGCAATAATGAGACGCAACGCACAGGGTACCCCCACCCCGCTCGCCATGGGGTGGAACTTGCCACGCTGCACTGTTGTTACATTTTAGGCTATTCCTGAAGCAAGCCTCGAGAGAGCATCGAAAAAAAATCTCGTTACAGGTAGTGTCTTAATGGCGATTTTTCAAAATTCCGCTTTACTACTTTTTTTTTGGAAAAAAACCTGACCAAACTGCTCATTCTGCTATTGTTTCATTTACCTATTCAAATCTTCACTTCTACTATTAATTTGAAAATAATCGACATATTTTTAAATTTGTTATTTTATTTTAATTTCATTATCTTATATTCAGATGGGTGCGGAAGGGCTAAAAATGCATTACCTTAGCAAATACTGATATAAGCCCCCGATTAATATTCATTTCTTCCAAGGGGAACCAACCAAAAGACCTCTCAGAAATTTTGTGTGAACATTTTTGAATGAATGAAAAAATTCAGATTTCCCTTGTTGAAAAAAATTCACATAATTTATTGTTAAAATAGACGAAATTATTTTTGAGAAGAAAATTCGTTTTAAATATTTTTTTAAAGAATAAAACTAAAATGGTTACTCCCACCGTTGCAATCGGATGCTCGCATTTTTCGACGTCAGCCACTTTGGCCATGCAAGTACTTGTTCATATTTTTATTGGTTTAATTGTTGGGTACTAAATTTCTGAAAGCTTCAAGTTAAGTAAGCTGAAATTTAACAGGAAAATTAGCAACGTCTATTTACTTGATAAAACAGCGACCCAGTCCGTAAATTTGCCAACATGGACGGGATAAGTTTCCCTTTCCATGTTCCCTTTACTATATATATATAGTTGCAATATTCCTATTTATTACTGGTTTGCTTGTGGGGATTTCCACTTCTCAGGGTTGCCAACACTACGCGAGTCGATTGGAGATGTTGCCGAGGAACAAAAAAGTCCACGTCACGCAGGAAAAGAAACCCCAAAATAACCAAGCGATGTCATACTCGGAAAAATTTAATCATTCGTATGATGTGGGACGAAATGAATCTAATGCAACTTTAACTATGATGTACAAATCATGATGATTCCGAAATTTTAGTACGAGGAGAAAAAAATCAAGATCAATACCGACGGAACTTTTTCTATTTTTGTATGGCCGTCCGATAATAACTTCATCAAAATGGTGCACGGCAGTGAGTAAAAACTCTAGCGTATTGACCAATATGTTCACAAAATATCTGAAAAAATTCTGAGCTGAAAGAAATATCGAGCTTCGCATTGCCATGAACTTTCAGAAATTTGTACGGGAAAAACTATTAATTGGAGTTTTAATTTTCCACACTTTTTTTTTCGCTTTTTCAGAATGGAAGCAGTGGTGGTTGCTCTATTGATTTTTCAGGTCATCTCTCGACCAATCAGCTTCAGGCTCTTTTTATCTTGCGTGAGCCTGTTTTCTTTTTTTGTTTTTCTGGGTAAATTTTCAGAGAAAAAATGATTAGAAAACTTTTAGGACCTTATCTTACGTAAGGTATGGTGTGAATAACTCAATTTAATTTTTTGTTCAAAAAGTGACACAAGTGGTTCCCAATGCAAGTTGCCACACTCTTCAGAGAAGCCGCAACACTTCTAGGAGCAACCATGGAAGCACCAGAAGGGACTGCCATGAAAATGTGAGTACATATGCATCAACCGTGTGTTTTTCGAGTCTCAGGAATCGCGATGATCAGTGTAACTTCAATTTCACTTTCCACGTTACGAGTTTCAGCTTAAGATTCATCATTATTTAACAGCTGAGTGTCTTTTCCGCTCCTTATGTCGATAGTGACAGTGGTTCCTTCCTACAGATGCTATTCTTGTCACCACCACATACTGCTCTAACCACCTCAATCGGATTTTACCCTTGTCTTTTCCCAATTCAAGCTAGTCCCTGCAATTCGTTTGTGTCACAAAATGCATGGGAGTCTCCCTGTGATTGCTCTCGAAAGTCTGCTGCTCTTGGTTTTCCCTTATCAGTTCTGCTGCTGAAAACACTTCTGTCCGCGGTAGTAGTCTTGTTCAATTCTGTCATGCCATTTTATGACATCGTTGGTGTTGTTATCCTGAAATATTATTTATAAACTACCAGTTCTGTGTTTTGTTCTTCCAAACAAGCTTAACACACAGTAAATTTGTCCTGTGATATTTCAAAGCATTGTTTTCGCGCAGAGATATTAGCATTCACGACAAGAGCAGTATCTCAAATTTCATGCTCTTGCACATTTCTCTTGCGGAAAGTCTTACCTCATTCTATATTATCTATCTTCCTCTCCCAATCTAGTTTACCAGTTGATCTCATTTCGGTCCTAGTTTTGGCATGAGTATTGATTCAACTTCTACTTGATGTTTATCGTAATGGTAACGTTTATCTCTAAATAGCCCCAGTATCACAGTAATGTATTGATTTCTCTCCTCCACCTTAATGATTTTACTTTCAAAATAAAGATCTCTAATTGTACTGTTGTGAACAAGAATGAGTTTATCCCCCATTCGTACCAAATTTATATATGATACATTATCATATTGCGCGTGTTCTCAGCCTTCAAATGCTCCAATCCTGGAACCCATACTTAACATTATCTCTACTTTTATTGAAACGTTTGGTCTGATGTAAACATGGTTAGGTTTTCCTCTGTTTTTTTCCTAATGTTTTGATTTACTTGTGTACCGCAGTGTCTATTTTGTTTGAAGAATCATTTTGAGGAAGGAAGGCTGATAATTGTTTAACACTAGCTTGAGTGTTTTTTATTCTGTGTTGTAGCGCTTATGAGAGTTGAATGAAAGTATTAGCTAAGAATTCAGACATTCTTGAAATTACCACTCTAAAATCTAGGGAATTTTACCGAGGTCTTTTACACTCCACTGAAGCAAATCTGCAAAATCTTGAGAGGTGGTTCAGAAAAAGATTCTAAATCTGGGAAAGTCACAAAAAATTTTCATCCTCATTTATTCTAGCTATGCATAGATTAGCGTATTTATGTTTAGACTCAGATTAATCTTTGATACCAAGTCAATTCGATTAAACTAATGTTGAATTCGGATGGTGCCATCGATGTTTACTGATGTGAATGAATTTTTCTAATTTAATATCACCTCACTATCAGTCAACTAATATGTAATATAATAAAGCGTAAGTGAAAGCTGCTACTTTGCAGCTGGTGGGGATAAATTGGAAAGACTCGTACATCAGATTTCGAAAACGGTTTCTAAGAGCTAACTTATGGCATTCAGGATTTGTTACTTGATAAATTCTAACAGCTTGCGCATCACCAGTCAAACTTCAAGCAAAATTCAAGGCATGTCTATCACAGCTCTTTGTCTGTCAAGGAAGGAAAGCAAATTATCTATTAAAAGTAGAAGATTGTGATTTTAATTTCAACATGGCGAAGTATTTTAGCAAACAACAGTTCTCATTCTAGTAGGTATAGATTATTCTATCATCAGAATCCTCTAAATGGAATCTTGGCCTAGTGGAAATCCCAGTAGTTGTAAAAATTTGTATTTCCATTTTTTAATGAGACGCTTCATACCATGACATCATGAAACGTAGCTCTTTTTTCTCTCATCTGACTGCCTCTTCCTTCCTTCTCACACATTTCATCCAAATCAGCATGAACCTAAAGCTCTCAAGTTTCAAATCAAGTAACCTGATTTAAAGGCACCTTTTCACTGCTCCTAAAATGTGCTGTAGGACAGAAGTAACCAGGATCCTCCTATCTTAAGACGTACTTACCTCTCTATTTGAATTTGTCTGCTGTAGTGTCAGTCTATTTTTTTGGACTCTTAGTGGTTTCATAAAACAGATTCACATGATCCATTTAGGTTTCGGGTTGTTTTTGGACTTTTTATTTTTATAAAATGGAAGATTTTTGATCAGCAAGATGATTTTTTTTTCCTTCTCTTGGTTGTAGATAGATTAAGGTAAGAGAGGAAAGAAGGGACTCTGAACTGTTTGGGTTTTGTGGTTTTTTTCTATACTGTGTAATACTGTTTTCTCTGGCAATGGATATTGATTAAATATTCTGAAGCAAAATATGGCCGAAAGAAAGATAACAAAGCCAGAAGTCTATGTAGTTCTAAATTAGTTTATCCTAGATTGTGAGGAGTGAGAGTGGGAGGGTGCTTCGCAAGACAGAGGAAGTTCTCACTCAATCGGTCCATTTTTCCCCCTTTTTTTGCACATTAATTTATCGAATATAATTCATTCTATTTTTAACATTGGTCTAATCTTATATTGGTGTTGCAGGTCTAATTACAATGAAAATAACATGATGAAGCAAGAAGTTCAGGATGATGGTTATGAAACTAGCGGAGACATTGATTTAAGAGCTCAAGGAAATGTGCCAAAACTGATGGGTCAGATGCATCAACATCAACAGTCTCCCCATTCCCCACATCCGCTCCAGCAACATCAGCATCAACAGTCGCCTCACTCACCGCATCCTCTCCAACAGCATCATCAACAGTCTCCTCATCCCCACTCTCCGCATCCCCTTCAACATCAACATCAGCAGTCTCCTCACTCTCCACATCCGCTCCATCAACATCAGCAGTCTCCTCACTCTCCGCATCTGCTCCAGCAGCATCAACTTCACCAGCCCCACCCATCACATCAGCAACATCAGACGCAAGAATCCCACCAGCAGCATCAGCAGCACGACCAGCACCAGCATGCTGCGCATGAGCAACATCAGCAACATCAACATCAACCCCATCAACATCAGTCGCATGAGCAGCATCAGTCGCTCCAGCATCAATCACATCAGGGGCTTGAGCAGCATCAGCAAATGCGACCACATGAGCAGCATCAAACACATCAATCTCATGAGTCGCATCAGCAGCATCAGGCTCATCAACCCCACCCCCACCAGCCCCATATGCAGCACTCGCAAATGCAACAGCACCAGCAAATGCATCAGCAGCACCCTATGCATGGCCATCCATTCATGCATCTTCTCTCTCATGAGCATCATCCTCAGCAGCATCCGAATAATTGTATTAAGTATGAGCTCTCGGATGATCCTTACAGTTTTGTGGACGAGACGCAATCACACCACGTTCAAGGAGCCATGCAGCAGCAAGGTCCCAAGAAAAGAGGTCGCAAGAAAAAAATTAGACCTGAGGATGGAGGGTGAGTTCATTTTTGTCATTTTAATGCAATATTTTAGGCAACATTGGGGGAACGAGCATTTTTTGTGGGGAGGGCTTAGGGCACACTAACTGTCAGTCCATGAAGGGCAATTTGTGGGAATCCTCTAGCTGCTAAGGGAGATTTGGGGAATTTCCCTAGCATCAGAGGGGGTTCAAAAGGCCTACCTTGGAAAATTTGGAAAAATTGAGTTGTCTCAGGAGCAATTTTAACTTGTTCTTACCAACAAATTGATCAAATTTAAATTTCAAAGGTGAAAAATATGTCACACACTGATTTAGCAAAATCCCTCATGCGCTGTTTTCACAAACTGTTTAAAATCTGTTGCTGGAATTCTATTCATTTTCTGAGTAATTCTCTAAAATCTCTCCCATATAATTTTGTCCAGGATGATGTATCCATCTACGGATCTGATGATGAACAATCTGCCCCTCAAACCAAAACAAGAAGGCGCAGTCAAAGTGTACAAGGAAAGAAAAAAACACGATCGTTTCAATGGAATGCCTGAAGAGGAAGTATCTAAGCGAACTTTGCCTGATCATCTGTCTCACAATCTAGATATTGTCATTGTAAGTATTTTTCACCTAAATTTCTCCGATAGTATTTTTCTACATAGTATCATATCCATGGCTCATGTCGAGAAAATCTGTTGAAAGTCCCCGCATTCGTATAACCCATAATTATCGTTATCACAAGACTTTAAACGTACATGTGCCGTACTTCTCATCTACTTGATTAAAACCATCGCTGGATTTTTAATAATTCCAAGTGGCATTCTTGCTAAATCATCACTAAATACCAGTACAAACAGAAAAAGATACACATCCTTTAAGTGTTAATTAGCTTTAAAACAGGAATCGAAGAGTTTGAGCTGAACAAGGAATTAATCATTATATTTATGAATAAATTGATTTTAAGAAGAGTATTTAAGTGCAAAAGCACGTCATCATGAGGGAGCAGTGGACTGGTAGCAGTTGAATAAATACCCAAGACAGGCAGGTTTAAACTCTATTTCTGCAAAAGAAAAATAATAGTCTGAGTTTTAGGGATAAAGGATAGGGTCTTATGTCAAAAGCTTTTCTAGGGAGGGGGGCAAGGGGTCAAAAATGCCGAACAAGTGTATCATGTAGGTTATGGAATCTCCCTAAATTTTGCGTCAACAAGGATGGTCTCTAATATGTGCACACACGTCACGATTTTTTTGAAACGGCTCCCAAACATTTGATTGGGTCAATCAAATTGCTCAATTGATTGGGCTCAATTGGAAAGGACTTATATTTTATTTCTCGGTGGCTTTGTTTTAACTCCAAGAAATATGTTTCATGTTACATAAAGAAATGAAAAATTTGAATAATTTTTTGAGGCTGTTCATTTTTTCAGTAAGCTATCCGTTCATTGCAAAGGATTATTGTTGCTAGAGCCAGTAGCAATCTAAAAAATAAAGAAACGTTGTTCTCAACTTTCGAAGGTCTCAAAAAATCTGAGAATCTCTGAGGAATTTTAGAAAAAGAATTCTGATTATGAATTTAAACAAGACTCTCTGCCCCCAGTCTTGGGACTTTATAAAGATGAGGTAACCAGCATGCTGCTTGTATTCAGGATTCTATTATATCTAGCCATGCCCACATTTTTCACCCTCTTAGGTGCCAAGAACCATCACTCTCCAAACCAACACCTTGTGTTACAGCTTGATACAACAGAATATTCTTCTCTCCTGCTCATCTGTTGTTCAGTTATTTATTCACGATTTCAGCACCTCTAATGTTTTTCTTCTGCATCCATTGCTAAAATGAATACTCAATTTTTTTTAGATTGGTATCAATCCTGGACTTTTTGCAGCCTACAAAGGTCATCATTATGCCGGCCCAGGCAACCATTTTTGTGAGTGTTAAATTTTATTTTATTTTTTGCCAAACGGTTACTCTTGAAAAGAATAATCTTCCCACACTTGAAGATTTTTTAAAAAGAACCCAGAGATCCAGTGGATCAATCACAGTTACTTATTGCTTAACAAGTGAATATGAAAGAGTTAACGTTTTGTAATTAACTTTTAAGAATTAAGTAATTGACACCTACTCACTTCCTTAGGTTTAAATTGCAAATGAGCTAAAGTTAATTTTGTTACTCAATTGCACTTGTACAAAACCCGTTTCTCATTTTTCGAAAACCAATGAGTACTAGAATCCATACAAGTATTACTTTAAAATTTTGCAAAAAAATCTTTTTAATTTTTTAAAAGAACTCTGCCATTCCGAGTATTGAAAGGCAAATTAAGTAGTAAAGTGCGAGTAGTAACTAAAAATGAGAGTGTTTTTTTTTATAAGCCCCAACTAAAAGTATGAATGAGTGATGAATGAAATTAAGAAAATCTTTGTCAGTGTCCATAGTGCAACTCAATGCAGCAGAGCAACCTTTTGAGATGTTAAAACATTTAAGGTTTCTGGCGGTCTGGCAAGTCAGGGAAGTTACCGCTTCCTGGAAAAGTTAGGTAACTTTAGCTCAGCAATTTCAGCCAGTGCTATTCAAGATAGCGAGAATTACTTCCAAGTGCCTTTTTCTGTAATTTATATGTTCAGAATTTGTAATTTTGTCCTAAGTTAACAAAAAATTGTGTAATTAAAAGAGAAAAAATTTAAGAAGCTTTGTTGGAAGGCCAGGAAAAGTCGGAGATTTGGACATTTTGGTGTTAGAAAATTGCAAAGAAGTCAAGGAATCAGCAGATGGAAAAATCATGAAACACTAGAACTATGTTCCTGCCTTTCTGGTCCATACCTAACAGATTCTTTTTTGTCTACTATTAGCTGGTTGAAAATGCTGCATTTTGATGGTTTGAGTTGGTTTGAGTTGTTGTGAAGAATTCGATTTCTTTTTCAGGGAAATGTCTTTATCTTTCGGGGCTGACACCAGAACCCATGACAGCAGATGATGACTACAAACTTTTGAAAAACGGAATAGGATTTACAAACATGGTTGAGAGAGCAACAAAAGGTAGTGCGGATTTAACGAGGAAAGAAATTAAAGAAGGTAATAAACTCCTCTCGTCTTAAGTTAGTAATCCTCTTTTCTGAATGTGTGTTAACCTTTTATGAGCATGAATCAGCCTTACAGGAAGGAATCATGAACAAGTTGGAAGAAATTTGCTATGCTATGATGTGAAGCTTAACGTCATGATTTGTGAACAGACTATTGTAAGTCCAAAACATTGCTTTTTACTTGGACGAATGGAAAATTCAGTTTACCCATCCTACAATTTTGTTAATTTTTAAATCTTTATATGGAAAGAAAGCTAAAATTCTTCCATCATGTTAGTATAACTGTATCCTCTGCTGGACCTAAGTTGGCTGAGCTACAGCAATTCGAATGCGATGTTCCGAAAAATTTCTGTCCTGCTTTGGAAATCATAATTTTTTAATAAAGATAAAATGTCTCTCAGGATTTCCTGCCTATTATTCAGAACAATGTCCTTGTTATAAAAGAAATTTTGACTTTTTCTCCTCCAGTTTTTGGTCCCATAATAACTGCAGTTTTATGCTAGATGATTATTTCGGCTTAATGAGAATGTCTTGTTCGACAAGTTTGTCATTGACTCAGATTAAGGAAGCATCATCTCATTTATTGTTGCTAGAATCATTTATAGTCCGCAGAAAATGATGCTAAGGAACAGGCTGCTCTGATTAAAATCACTTTTTGCATGCATAGACCTTCTAAAGAGTAGTGTATAATTGATTCCTGTTCCAATTTTATATCTTTTTTCTTATGCAAAAGAATATTCAACCGCGTAGTGAGCTACAGTCGAAAATTCTTTGCTGTTACCTATGAGCATTTCTCGCATCCTATGAGCATTTCTTGCATCAACATAAATGTCTCATTCATTAATTTGCTTGTTTTCTTTCTTTCCTTAGGGAGTCAAGTTTTGTTAGAAAAATTACAGAAATTCAAACCGAAAATAGCAGTTTTTAACGGTAAATTAATTTTTGAAGTCTTCTCTGGCAAGAAAGACTTCTGCTTCGGGCGGCAACCTGAATTAGTTGATGGCACTAATACTGTAAGTTATAATGCAATCTAATACTTTTCCAACTTCTTAATGTCTGTTTTTGTTTCATTGTATATTAATGTACATTTTACAGGCATGTAAAACCTTTGCACTCTTTGCCAGGGTATGCTACGGATAATTTATCCAAGGTTTTTCAGACGTATCTAATCTTTGTCAAGTCTTGTGAATATATCGATGTTGAGACTCCTAGACCATGTATCTTGCTGACAGTGTTTGAAAATTCTGCCCCTGTTTTATTTATTTAATAAAAGGAAAACAAATCAACTTCATACCTTGATGTTTTCTTAGAATTTGCTTCGCACAGAGAAGTAAAATCTTGGAAGTTTTTAAGAACTGATGTTGAGTAGTTCTTCTTTGAAAAATGAAGCATGACAGAATGTCTGCAACGTCACAAACCAAGACATGTGGTTTGGGAGTTGCACCATGGATATGCAAATACAACTTGTTGACTCTACTGTTCAATCATCCTTTTCCCTCATGAACAAAATCTGAACTTATATGAACCCCAAGATCTATTTGAAACTAGGATCACTTCATTTATTTTGAAAAGAGCAAATGGAATTCATACAATATGATAAGAATTATAGCTTAATGCCATTCTAAAACAGTTTTCAACATTCCACTACAACAACGTTGCATTTGTGTCTCTGCTTAGCCTTCAAATTTTTTTGTCATTTCAATGAGTGTGAAAAGGAAGACAAAATATTTCCTACTCTTTCTTAACCAGAAACTGTGACTTTTAACCTCAAGGCGAATAAAGAGAGGTGGTCGCATTTCAAGTCGAGCAGCCATTTTCAAAGCTGTGACGTGCAGAGGGCACATGCTGTGCCATGCAACTAGGATGTACCTGAAACGCGACCACCTTTCTTTATCCGCCTTGTTTTAACTTGACGCAGCAGTGGTTATGATTTTAATTAACAAATGGCACTCTTAACCGGAGTAATTTCCTTTGAAAGTAAAGACTGTAAAATCAAATTCTTGGATGAAGTATTACTCTCTAACTCTTATGTTATTTATTTTAAACGATTTATTTAATTTTTAATAATATGTTAATAATGATTGTGTTTAATTGCTATGTCCTTGTAGTATATGTGGGTGATGCCTTCCTCTAGTGCACGCTGTGCTCAGCTTCCCAGGGCTGCAGACAAAGTTCCATTCTACTCTGCCTTGAAGAAATTCCGGGACTACCTGAATGGTGTTGGACCAGAACTGGATGAAAATGAAATAGTCTTCACATATTCTAAATTGAAAACATTCTTTGAACCTGAGGTAAAGGAAGAACCTAAAGACGGTATGTATTACAATGAATTCAATCAATTAGAAAACAATGTCGTTAATGAAGAAGGTGAAGGTGAACCCTTGAAGAAGAAAAAGAGGGGAAGGCCGAAGAAGATAAAAAATGAAAATGGTGAAGAAATTAAGAAAGAGCCTACACCCAAACCTCCGAAACCAGTTGTAGAAGAGGATAAAATTAGCATTGACGGTGTTCCGAAAAAGAAGCGCGGAAGGCCAAAGAAAATCAAAACAAATTTAGTAATTGAAAACGGAATGAATAATTCAGAGCATAGTAACCCTTCAACTCATCTTTCAAATTGTTTTTCTCCCCCTATCCAATCTCCAATGAATTTACCGCCTATGTACCCTAGCCAGCCTCCAACTTTACCTTCCCTCATGAATCAGCCTTCCTCGCAATCTCCTTTGGTGTATCAACCGTACTCCCAATCACCGCAAGCACCATCTTTCACTCATTCGGATCTCTCATCCGAAATCAGTGCAGCAATATCATCTGAAAATATTCATTCGCCAGGCCCAACGTCGCCAAGTTTAGGGCCACCCGAATTCGAACCACCAGCCAGTATGCCTGAGGAACCAAGTAAAAGTCCTCCTCCCTCAACGCCGAATACAATATCTGAAGAAAACAGGATGGAATGTCACTTCTCTAGTCCAACTCCGGCCAAGGATAAAACTCCGGAAATGAACTACCAGAACTATGAGGATTTTTCTGCAGAGTCAGATTCTATGACAACAGTGAGATACCCTCATGCACAACGGCCGCGTATGGACTATCAGCACATTGTGAAGCCTCAAATCTCGCAAGATGTTGCATCAAAAAGTTTGTCCGGCTTGGAATCACTGGTAGACCAGATCCCAAACATTGGAGAGGGAGAGCAAATGAGCGAACATGTGCCTAGCGGTCAGTTTTCTGACGAATCCTATCTATCAGAATATTCAAGAATGTATCCACCCCCCAGTACACCAACTGCTCCTCCGACTACGCAACAGAGTCAAGCTAGTATGAATTTCTCTGTTTCATCTTTAACGAATAACAGCTCAATAGATGCGTTCTCCGTCTCTCATAATTATAATCCTTCGAGTTATCCAAATCTAATGGGCCCACCTCATCCTCATCTTATGGACTCATCAAGTAGTTCTTTATTCAATCCTCTAGTTGACAGGACGTGTCGTTTGGGTGGCTCTTCAATGAATAGCGTTGGAATGCCGTATCCTTACAACCAGTACTCAAGCCCTGGTTTCTCGTATCCAGCACCACACAATATTCATGTACCCAGCCCCAGTTTTCCCTACGGTGCTCCTTACCCCAGCGCTGGTTACTCACAAACAGGCTATCACAATATCGGCTACGGTAGTTTTTGATTGACCTAACAATATTAACATGCACAAGTCAGCTGATAATTAAGACTGTTCTTTGTTTTTTTCGTATTGAAAGGTTGTTTATTTTGTTTTGTTTTTCACGTTTATTTTTATTTTTTAATATTTGTTGTGTTATTTAATGCTTGTTTATGTACGTGATACTTGTTTTATTCAACACATCATTTTTTTACCGCATGTATTTTTATATTTTACCACTCTACCACTGATTCTTCCTCAGGTCATTACTAATAGTTTGCATGTGTTTACTATTGACTATTGTACCCCCGCTCGTACTTTGTATGATTTTTATTTTTTCCGTTTTGGGGATTGTGCAATCATACCCTGCATCATTTTTTTTCTTATCAAAGGATGGGAAATTATTGAACAATTCGTCTGAAACTGTGGTGCTGAGTATTTCTGAAGCATGTGTTGTTACGTCGCAACTTTCGGGACTTATCTGCATTAATTTCTACTCCTCTAACAAGACGTTTCTTCTTGTCACCAAGATCACCATCAATCGAAAAGGTAACCTTTTATTAATCAGAATGGAAACCGAGATAATTATTTCAATTATTGATACTGGAATTCATGTAAGAAGTGAATTGATCTTGAACTGATCAAATCCCAGTGGATAATCAATCTCATTAATTCTATGCAGAGAGTGCCCTCTGATGATTACTCCATTTATTAGTTTGATTGAAAGTAACTAATGCATTATCTTACCTATCTAAATCGTTTCAGTGGTCTCTTAACCAGTTTGCCTCGTTAACTTCACTTTGGTTTTGTGTACCATATGCGATTATTTCCTTTTTTTTTTTTTTTGATATTTGTTATCGATTCTGAACTTCTAATTGCCATTTTTTAATGTCATTACTGATCCTGGTGACAGAAAGAATTTACTCTCTGGTGTAACAGAGAACATGAAACTTTACCGTACTAGTTCTATGCATGATCTAAGATCAGTAAGAAATTATACGAGCGACACAGTACGGCTTCTGATTATTCTTTTTTAACCTCATCAATTATTTATTTTGCAGACAATTCTTTGTTACCCATCCTCCTCTCTAGAATAGCCTCTGTTTAGTATTTGTGAAACTTCAAATTGAAGTTTTTTGTTGAATAGAACACAATTTGCTTTCTTCTTTTTCAATGCTCTCTTCGTTATTTGTTGAAGATATAGTACATATTTAAAATATTCTTCTGATTTACTGATTAACTTATTGCCTGTCTGATAACCATTTTTGCCTCAGCTCTTTTCCCACCCTCTTCATCTCATTTTGTCCATCATTAACCCTACTTTATTTTGTTCCCAAATACCCAATATACCCCAATAACCAATTTATTTCAGGATTTTTTTCCTTATTTTTCTGGCCCAGATTTTTCGTTTTCTCCCTCTCTCCACTGTTAATCTGATAGATAGGTTTCTTACTTTTGTTGGAAGTATGATAGTGCTAATGTTTTATTGTTCACGCAAGTAAAAACGACTTACCCACTCATATTAGATTATCTAAAATCTAACACAACCCTCTAGCCCCAAGCGCCAAATCCAAAGTATCAACAGCTTAAGTGCAAATCTACGTATCCAATGCGGTGTTTCAAAGTTCTCACTCCTTTTTAATTTTTTCAAATAGGAACAAATCAACTTTTTAGCTTGAAATACATACTGAATATTCTGCTGATAGAGGAGAAAAATCCAGAAAGTTTTCGAGATATTAAGTTAGCTATTTTTTCCGAAGGAAAAATAAGTATGACAGGAGGTGTGCAAAGGCGTGAACGGAGATATGTACTTAGTTATGTACCCCCCTTCCAATAATCTAATCATCTAATGATTTAAAGTATACCATGAATGGATTGATGTCTTCAAAGCCTTTTATGAAATGGTAAGGAGTTCGTGAGTGATCTCTCTGTTCTAGTAAGACTTGTTCTTTTTTGTCCATGAAGTGTGATGATACTAAAAATTATTTTGGCTTTCATGTGCGAAAAAAATAAAACTCTCGTGTGATTAGAAGCCATCACAGTAAAACTTCCCTCTTTCAAAATTGCTCCTGGATCCCTTCCTTCTTTCAATTCCTCAAGCTTTTTTTAAAATGTTTTGATACTTTCCTTTTCGTTTGTGTGATAACGAAAGAACCAAATGTTGGAGGTTTTTTTAAGCGCATAGCTTTCCTTTGCCCTTCTGCCTCCTTTTATATGCTGATAGGGGTTTCTCGAATCAGGCTAACTGTAAATTTGCATCAGTGCAATGCTATAGCATGAAAATTACAAAGTAATTGATCTGATGAGAGGTTTGTTGTTAAAACTAGCAAAAAACTCCCTCGATAGCAGATATAACCACTGATTTTTGTGCCAACAATGTAGTGAACAAACTGTGAATTCTCCAATGATATCAGGTAATTTAGAGGAAACTTTTTGCTCAATAAATATAGTTCCTATGTTCAGGTGCTATCACTTAGAAATGTGAAACTATTAAAATGGGTTCGTGCAATATAAGAAAGATTAGTATTGTATAGAGAAAGGCAATGTAGGTAAGTTTGAAGTGTACGAGACACTTTAAAACTGAATTCAGCTCTTTTTCTTTCGTTCTTTCTTTCTCTCATTAAATCAGACATGCAATAGAGTTGATCACGTAGATTGTCTCATGTTGTAAAAGTTTTGATCTGTGTCCAACCGCAAGGTTAGTGAGCGGTTCAACAGAAAACTACTCTAGGTATGAAATAGAACTTTTATTTAATTGCCGATGATTCTTTCTATCATTATTTTTTTTTCTTTTTTACAATCGTTTTTACTATTAAGTACCATTGTTAAGCGTGAGCTATTTTAATGACTTTACATACTGACAGTAAACTCTGACAGACTTAGTGTATAACATCAACAGATTTTGTATAAATTACGGAAAAATGACTTCATAATAGTACAGTTGCTGGTCGCAATGCTAACCAGTTACTGACAAGCGAGGATTTTGGTATATTTCAATGACATCTTTTAAGCCTCCTCGAGTAGTGGGTCAGTTCACGAACTTAGTTTCATTATTTTTCATAATTAAATTCTCATAATTTTGGTGTTGTGTATGCTTTATTGTGGGAATCCAGTGTAACAGGGTAGTTCTTTTCTTCTTTTTTCATCACATCTTCCCTCTATTTTATTGTAAATATAACTCAAGTTATGTCCAGTGTATCCTAATTTGTACTCAAAAGAGTACATGGGCAAATTAAGAAATAATTGACTTTTATTTCTATATTTTGTACTGGTATATTTTGAACTTCGACATGCTCAAAACCATTAAGCATTTTCCTTCAATACAAATGCACAGTAAGAAATTCATTTTTCTGTTTTACCTGTATCTACTTATTATTTATTTGCGCAACATGGTTTTAAACCCTCTTGTCTGTAAGTTAGCTCTTAAATTTGCGTCATAAATATTTTTTTAGTCTAAAATTTTATATTATGGGATGCAATAACTTGAACTGTGGTATAATAGTTGTTATCTGAAGTTGTTGGAACTTTTGCATTGTCCACTCTTCATCCCCCTCGTTCACTTTTTAAAACTTCTAATGAAGATTTTATTTTTTAGTCGCAAAGTGATTGAGTTACATTTCTAATCTCTACTTAAGAATCAGTTTTTGTACTTCACTCCAAACAACATACCATCTTTTTAAAGGGAACTTCTATTAGATTTGATTCATTTTAAGCCTCCTGATGATAAACATCTGAACTGTTACCACCTGAGCATTGCACACCGCATCTGTTTGAGAATATTTTTCAAAAGAAAATCTCTCTCTTAGGAAAACGATAAATTGCCAATTAATAAATTCAGAGCCCACCATTTTTTCCCAGAATGATGGAAAAATCTGTAACCTCCGTGTTAAATCAAATTTTAGAAGATTATTTCAGCCACTCTACCCAATAAATTCAAATACATGTGCAGTAATCAAAATGCAACCCATTGAATGCAGTATAATCCTGCTTTGCTTGATTTCTTGCCAAATTTTTATCCAAATTCAAATAATCTATATCCGAAACCACTGGTTCTTTTAATTCCTCTCCTTCCCATTATATGAGGCAAATCATCAGTCTCATAATATGCGCATTTTCTTGAAAGTGAACCCTGTAGGCCCCTGGCAATTTTTTAAATTGTTCAAATTGGTTGAAATTTTCAATGGACATTGAGCTATGTTTACAATATGTATACTTAGCCCATTTCCTCTAATGCGCAAAAACAGGAGGAAAAGTCTTTCACTATCAATGTCACTAATTTGATAGAAGACTGCTTTTCGTGGATATAAGTGTATCTGGAACCATCTCAAAATATAATCCCTTTCGCTTCATTTTCTGAGTGAGTCAATGTAAATTTAAGAAGGGTGGAGGTCTATTAATCCCCTAGAGAAATTCTAACTTCTCGCTCACATGCCCTGAAATGTGAAGACATATATTTGTGGTTCGCCCTTAGTTAAATTAGTTTCACCATATTCCTGCAAATCATCTCCGCCCATGATTTTTCAGTTTTTATAGAAAGATCATTAAATTCCTCTTGGATATTGGAGAGTAGGAATAATGGTTCCAACAGTTTGTAGGGTAGAAGTTCTATGGTGTGGACTTATTTATTTTTCTCCTCCTATGCGCTTTATCAGATTTATGTAATTTTTATCCTCAGTAGATGACTACTGGAAAATTAAGTGCTATAAGTGGAAAATTCCCCTTAGCACAGGGTGATCTACAAATCCCTCACCACCAACACAATGGATCGGATCAAATTTAGGCAGAAAAGAGACTTGACATTTTATGAGCGCTCCTAGGTTGAAAGAAACGAGTTTTAGAACCCCCCAAAATTCTAAGGGGACCACCCCGAGAAGCGGCTAGTGCTCTAAGGGTTATAGGGGCGATGCAGGACTATTAGATCACTCTGTTAACCTTGTCATCCCTCCCCCCCTTCATTACAATGTTAAAAATCTCTCCAAAAATGGTACGTTTTCAGTGTAGATTGTGAATTTAATTGACCAGTTGGTCAGATTTTCTCATCAAGATAAAAAAACTGTGTGCTTTTATCAAATTTATTGATTCAAACGATGGTAGTTTTCCCGGATACAATTTTTTTTTCCTATACAATTTATACCAGTTCTCTGTACAGGAAAGTTTTTGGTGGATTTTTTCTTCTTCTCTCTACAATCATAGGAGCAATCAAAACCGTTTGCTTTTACCGAAAAGTTTAGTTGGATGTTGTTTACAATTCGTAAAGACTTCCTAAAATCTCTAAAGTCATTTTATTGACCTAACCTTCACACCCATGAGTGCATGAATAATCGCGCCAATTAACTGTAACTATCTTTTATTACTTCTACTCTTTACTTTAAAGTGAATAGAATCTTAAATTTTTTATAAATACAGCTTCCGATGTAAATAAATTACTATCTCTATCGAAAATCTGTTTTTTATCCCAACTGTTCAAATTGTGTCCAAAACTTGGAGGAAGTTCTTTCGTACCCCTGTATACTTATACGTACGTGCTCCTGTATAAATTAAATGATCATCTTTGTACATAATTTTTATTTTATCGCTTACTTAATGTAATATTTTAATATTTTATGTACTAAATTAAGTAAATCACATTTATTATTAATATAATATGGTTGAAGTTTCTAATTTTTGAACTATATGTATCAGTGTCTAATTTTTTCTTACTTTGTCTTGTAAATAGAGTGATTTAACTGTACCTACTCTAAAAATAGGACTTGCATTTTCTCACTGTGGATCAATTAATTGTTTCGAAAGTGCTTTGTGCCCTATACCCTTACGCTGATTGTAGGTAATCATTGTCTAGAAATATTGTTTGTTTTAGAAGATCTAAATGTTGCTCTGTCAGTGGGACTCCATACTCCCCAAAGTCTCCCACCAGTTACCTGGTGGCCAGCATCCTCAAAATCATTGAAAATTTTATAATCGCTCTTGCATTTTGTTTTCCCTCTGACGTTCCATCGGAGATGTGTTTCTCAGCCAATTTGAAATGGCAGGCAAAGTTGATTGAGGGTACCCCTAAAATTTTTTTCTGTTCAGTTCATGTATTTTTTCCCCTTCAGGTTTATAAGTATTACCAATTACTATCCTAAAAGTTTTCTCAAGGTTTTGGGCAACTATGAGTTTTTGAACGCATCAACCATAACAGCACTTCCTCCCCCTTTTTTAATTTTTTATTTTTACTCTTACCGTGCTTGTAGTTTCATGTTAATTAATTTTTAAAGTTATATTTACTTTTTAACCCTTACCTCTCACACTTTGCTTTGTTTTAGTTCCTTTCCAAGGAGCAAAGGTGTAGTACTAGTAGCAGTATGCGGGTTGTTATTCTCTACTGGAAAAGTTTTAGATTTTTTATTGGTTAAAGGTCGGAATTATTTCTTTAAAAAAAATAGAAGTTACACTTTAAGACCATTACAGATAAATTCTTATTGCTTGGCTCATCTTTACTACAAAAGATAGTGTATTCGCCCCGAGAAAATACACTCAAGGAGAGAAGTTGAATTGAGTAGAGGATCAATATTTATTTCACAAAAATTTCCTCACATCCTTTTTGCTGCAATTTTCATCCTATTGCCAAGTATTTTGTTTTTCCTCCCCTCCGTCTTGCTCTCTTCCATCATTATAATTTTTTCTTTATTGTTACCGTAAGCTCATGTTTTTCATAGTTGTATGTTTTTATTGTTTACCTCATTAGTTTAGTCTCTGCATGTAAGAGGGCTTTCTGTATGTGACGGAAGATTATTAAAAAAATTTCTGATGAACTAGGAGTAGACCTTACCTGACCTGACCATTATCAATTTCGACCCCATTTCACCTAAATGAGTAGAATAACAATTTTTCCTTTTTTGCCCCTGTTTTTCACCCAATCTCAGACTTTCAAATTCTCATTATTTTACATTAGTAGTTGTGGGTTTAAATAAAATCTCCGCAAGTCGAGAGAACCGACATTTTAACGAGTGCAGTTATTGAGAACAAGGAGCAGATATGGGTATTCCATGTCCCTATGTAGGTTCATCATTTGTTCTTGGTAGTGCTAAATACTTCGAAAGTGTTAATCATTGCATGAGTGTTTAACATATGCGGCTCAGTACCTATATGTCAATTGTTCTTTTAACCTTTCTCTGTAATACAACTTAAATGACGCTTAGTTCTCATGTAAAGTCATGTGCTTGAGCCAGTTGATCACTTGAGTGAACATACAGTTGTTAATATGTTGATTCGCTAAAGCTTATTTGGATCCTATTCCTGCTTTTTATATCTGTTTGCAGATACTTGACAGGGGATAACTTAAATGTTCAAAATCCCACAATCTGATTTTCTCTCACTCGGAACAGGCTTTCTTCTTTACGTAGACTTGACTTTTCTAAACAATCGTTACCACAAAGTTAACCAATAAATCTCCCCTTCGAATGTTCAAATTATTCCTCCTATGTTTCAGGTGGATCTCTTTTTTTTCCTGTGTGCATATTTTGCACCAATTTAGGTTACATTTTGTTGTAACTTCCCACTAATTTTTCCTTGCCAACTTTACAAGCCCAGTCTCTACATAATGAGAGAAAATGGTCTGACATTTGGTATTTTCTAAGTACTTCTGATTCTTACCTAAATCTAAAGTCCGTCTCGCTCTCTTTTACCATAATTACTCAGAGTATGTGAACTTTCTTCATAAAAAGTTTCAAGATGCTGTCATAAAATTTTTTGGTGGCCAAATTCCTGCGCTAATGACAAAAATCTGCACTTAGAAAAAAAAGATGTCTCCAGCAGTGTCAGTATGTCTACAATTTTGAGCACTTCTTTTCGAAATTCAATACACCTCGAGCAATATCAGAAGTGGCACGTCATGTTTTTCACATGCTTTGTACAGCATGCATGTAGAATATCCCATCTGTAAAGTTATTAATCTTTTTTCTTACCACTATTTTACTTCAGCTAACTACAGTTTCTAGTTTGCATTGCTGTCTATTTTGCCATACTCTCTGAAGCATTTTGCAAAAGCTGCAAAACTCTCGTCTTTTTTTGTACATCTGTTTACCATAGCAAGCACGTCAGCACGTTTTCCTTAAATGTTTCCATCTCCCCTTTTCTCTTTATCAGATCACATCCATTTAATATTATATTTTTCATCTTGTTTTCCTGTTTTTCTTCTCCGTTAAATGAAGGTCATTGTAGTGAGTGCTACAGCTTGCACGAAAACTTACTTACCAGTATAAAAGTAGCAAGTTTGACTTTTAAGCCTATTAACCGCCACGTCTTATTGAAATCCTTTTTGTTGTTCAAACCACAAACTCATTGACCCATAATAATTTGATACAACTTTTGCAAAAGCAACAAACCAGGTTAAGCTCTTCTGTGACAATGCGGCTGTCATTTGAGGTTGAATAAACAAGTCACATCCAATTACTTTCTCAATGGATGAGGGCAAAAGTTTATCTGATCTCTTACACTTTATAAGGTGACTCTAAACTAAATTAAGTGCTTCACAGAACTTCAGCTTGTCCTACAAATTCTTAGTCAGATAGAGTAATTTGTTTTCAGCTACGTTATGAGTGTGTTCTTGCCATCATCTCCCTAAGCTCTCTTGCCTCTTAACTGTAGCCCCCTTCCCTCCCTAATTTCGAATATCTATAAGTTATGAATTTGAACAAAACAATTAGTGTCCTAAACTCGTTTGTTTTTTCTGAATTAATTTTAAGTTGCTTATTCTTTTTAATGTAATCAATAATTGCTAATATTTGCATTTCGCTGTGCGTTGTTATCTCTAATTTTTGTCATTAGTATTCTGAATTTAATTGACAAAACAAAGAGTAATCTAGCAGAAAGGGTTGCTATCGTGAAATGCTCTGTAAGTCTTCGACTAGTGATTTGATTCAATTTATATCAATTTGTAATTGGCCACTCAGCTTCATTGAAGATCATGAAGGGACAAGTGTTTCTTCCATTATAAACAAATTGGAAACACTCTTGATAGTTACTAAATGCATTTGGTTTCACCTGGATTATAATTATGAAAGGTGAATCAAAGCACAGTATCCTTATGGCTAAAACGAGCAAAGATTGCTCTAATTGTGCAGTTGTATAATTTGAAAGAAATTAAATTTAGTCATAATTTTTAAAATTATTGCTCAATTTTACTTTTGTTTTAATTTTTTTTCTGTGTCTCTAACTAGTTATTACTTCTTGTTGATGTCAACCTTCATACCGAATAATTTCTGTACCTCTGTGCGTTACCACTAATTATTCCCTCGAATATTTAGTTACTTTTGGTGGGCTGTCATGTTTTAACTTGTATGAATGGACTTCACTGTCCATCATACTTCATATGATTTTGTATAAATTTAATGCTTCCGTCTCAAAGAAAACTCATTGTTCCCTATTCATAAGTCTTAAGTTTTAATTCAGCAATCAGTTTTTTTTTTAAATGTTATTTTCTACAATATCAACAACTCCTACCAGTGTTTCTCTTCTCCATTATTGTTTCAGCGCTGTCTTCCAATTTAGAAAATTTTACTCAATCCGCCAAAAGGTTTTAATACTGTTTTGATCAGAACTTTGAGACCTTGACCCTAGTATGGTTCTAGTAATTTTATCGTTGGCTTTCTTTTGATTAATGAGACTGTAATTGGTGTCCAATTTTGAGTTAGTGATGGCTAAATGGACGTTTCAGTTTTTCAGTCTCTAAAGAAGATTAAAGAAGTTACCTATTCAGTGTGTAGGAAGCAAAATGAAGTACTTCCAATTCATTGAATACTTGGATCCAATAATTGAAAGTTTTATCAAATGCTCAAATCTATAGAAGTAATAGAATATACCTTGAGGAAGTCGCTTTTGAAAATTCTAGAAGAAAAAACAATACGCGGAAATAACTATTACTTCCCTCTTTATTTGTTCGAATTTTAAATTGCTTTGAAATTAGTAATACCATGTCAAGCAACAACTAGTCGTAGTTTCACGGTAATGAAAAAAAGAAATTTCTGTGAAGCAAATCTTGCGTACGACACATCAAGTTTTGAGCAAGTTTTCTCCAATGCAAATAAGTCAGAATTGGTTTCAATTTCAGTCCAATGATTTCACAGGAAAATATAAATACAAAAATAACATGGAGAAAAATGCAGAGCACACCCTGAACTACCCATTCTCATTCAGGTCAAACTAAGTTCCTGTCCACTATTTTTTTTGTTACTGTTCTGGATTATTAGACCTTATTTTTTTCTTGTCTCTATCTTAAAATTACTCTTGCTACATGTCTCACGAGAAAATCAAATCATCATCTAGCCAATTCCTGATTTATCAGAATCAATATTATGTTCAAAGGCTCATAAGGTTCTTTAAAAAACTATAATTAAAGGAACATATGTGAGGAAGTTCATGATTTTAAACCTCATTAAAAAGGAGGGTATTTTTTCATTTTTATTTTTTTTTCCTTTCTAATTTGAAGCGTTCGCCAATATGATACGTAGAATGCTCATTTCTGTCTTCCTTCTGTTGTATACCTGATGTTAACATACGTTCTCAACCTTATTCTAGCCTTTTTTCTGGATTGTTGGTTACATACAGTATGATCATACGTCTTCTCCTATCTCTTGTTCCCTTGTTTTTCAATTTTACCCTTTTTGTTATTCAGGTGGCATAGGTGTACTTATTCACATTTTATCCCTTTGACTAAAGTGTACATGTTGAAGTCAATTGGGCAAATGTTCCTTTCTTATTCAGCAAGCAAGACTTTCATAAGTAGTGACATTTTTATTTTTAGATGTATATAAGTATGTAGGTACTTCTTTTTACCTCATTATTTCTTTATTCCTGATATCAGGTTTGATTTGTGTCGGAAAGGTTTTTTTCAAATTCAGGCTTACTGTTGCAGAAATTCCTACTTTTGTAAATGTTTAAATCGCTAAGAATTGGAAGCAATTAATACCGTGACTCTAATTTGACACTATAACTTGTTCTAGGAGAGGAAACTCACTTGCTTCGCAAGTAGTTTTTAATCTCATTTCAACTACTATTTAGGTGCTTACCTTCATTGTAAGTCCAAATTTGTGTCTGAAACATGATTTGCTGTGTTCAGAAAGAGATTTGTAACTTCATTCAGAATTTTTTCAGGTTTTTTTTTTTTTTTTTTTTTTCATTATATCGAAACATAAGAAAACGTGAACACTTCTTAAGTTTGTATTTTCAGCATGCTCATGTGTGGCAAAGAAGAACATATCTTGAAAAAAAAAGTATGAAAGTGCCTCAGTTTCTTAAGATTAAACTTTGCCCCAGAATAAACTTACAAACTCGATGCAGAGTTATGACCCCTTCTCCAAAAAGTCAAGAGTGATTCTTTCCTCTTTACTCTGTATCATATTTTGCCGACCGGATTAATCAAAAAAATTAAATGAAGTATTACTGGTGAATGTTTTAGTTTATCTCAGAGTCCATTATGTATTAAAAGCTTTCCACCTGAATAAGCAATAGCTCCTCCCCACTTCCCCATACGTATTTGTCAAACTTGACGAGGAAACAGTAATGAACAAAATGAAACTGCAACAATTTAAGCTCCTTGACGATAGTGGTCACAAAGGTGGGGTTTGTTCGTTTATTTTTCCCCCCTCAATAAGTTTTTTTTTTTTTTTTTTTTTTTTTTTTTTTTTTTTTTTACAAAAGTGAGAAGAGTACGCAAACATTTTGAGTTAAGTATATGTAACCCCCTTCAAAATGCCAACTTTTTTTTAGTAATTGCAATTGTAGCAACAAGAAATGAGTTACCCACAGAAATGAAAGTTTTGACTGAAAATTCAATGGAAGCGGGTTTTAATGGAAGCTGGTGAGCTGTTCCAATGAATGGCTTAAATCAAAACTGTGATAATTCAAACATGATTGACTTAAAATGATCTGAAAATTTTTGAATGAACGAGGAAATGTGTAATTTTATGTAAAAACCTCCGTGTCAAACTGTAAAAACTAATCTCTACTATCTGTTTTGTATAAAAAAAATAAAATAAAATGAAAAAAAAATATATTAATTTTTAGGATAGTCTTTATCGAAAATCAATAAGAGAAATCAATGCGTTGGGTTCTCAAGTATCTACATGTTATAATAAGTGTAAGATGTTTTTCAATTCAATAAAGATTTAACCTGAAACAAATTTTTAAGGTAAAATTGCAGGGTGAATAAATTGTACATAAACTTCGAAAAAAACGTAGTTTTTCTTTGACTCCTCATTGGCTCCCCTTAGATTAAAATCAATTTTTTTTGTTCAACGCTTTTGCAAAAATTCTAAAGCTGTAAACACATTAAGCACATAATAGCAGAAGAAGAAACAAGAAACAGTGAAATAGAAACATGGAAAAAAAGAAAAAGTAAGTAAGTAGCGACGATATAAGGAAAAATAAGCGAAAAAAGTTGAGATATTTTAAAAGAAAAAATGAAGAATAAGAAATGAGGAAAAGAAGAAATCAGGGGCTTGAGAACACGGCGCACAATTTCAGTTTTTGCTGTTTCAAGAAATACCGTGTTTAAAGTTTCAAAATTACATGGAGCCATTTAGCAGAAAGAAAGTTGAAACTCATTTCTTGCTCTTTAAAAATTGGAATTTAGCTGTGAATTTTTCACAGAACATACTTTAAGACAGTTTTAGTCAAAATCATTAATATCTCATTTTTTCAAAAACTGCACGTATGCGCCTTGTCCTTCTAGCCCCTTAGATAAGAAAAGAAAAATTTTCAAAATGAATAAGCTGGCAACATGTGTCGTATCCACCGGAATAAAAATAAGAGCAATAGAGCATGCTCTTAGGTAACGCCAGGAAAGGGGGTAAGAAAGAATAGCAAATATGTGTGAAGAGTAGACACATATGGAAAGTTCATTACATTACATCCGGAAAATTAGCCACCAGGTCTAGCGGCGAGTCTCCTCAGAGTAATGGCATGTCCAGTAGCCGCAGTGCTTCAGTATTAGGGTGCCCGAGAAGTCTTGCACTGTATATTTCCGACCCCCCTGAGGCCTTATGACCTCAAGATTCCTATGGGATGTCAGAGTTCCGAAGAAACGATCGTGAACCTGATATCTTGCTCAACACGACATTTCGAAGGTCTGGTCAAATAGTTCGCGACTGCTCTTATGTGTGAGCGTAGCTGGGCTCAAAAGGGGTACCGGGGGGCCGCCCTCAAGAAAGTTGTGAAAATTTAACTTCATTTCAGACGCTTTTGCATCCATTTCTGCACAAAAATTACGCAGTTTTATGTGTTTTTAGCTCAACGCACTTTCAAATATTTGGATGCATCAACACACTTTCTATTCCTCCGAATTTTTTTTGAAATTTTAAGTCTATTTGCACGCATTTTAAGACTTTCACGGCGTAGATTTTCCATTCATTTCTATACAAGAGGTAAACTTTTTTAAATGCATTCTCAGCGAAAAATAATTCTAAATTGTTGGATTCAACAAGTTTTTTGTTTATTACCAATGACGTGGCGTGACATAGAATGAAGGAGATGCTTTGGTCTGGATCGGGGGTTTTTAGAACATATTTAAGTGTAAATTTCACTGTCTTACATCCTCTCCAAAAATCCTCCCCCCCCCTTCACTACCGGTAGAACAATTACTGACTTAAGGTAATGGTACGAAAGATCAACATGATTTTATGAAAAAAAAACTGTCACAGCTGCAAATGTGTCCGTAGAAACCTCAAAATATTCTATAAAAGGGCTGAAATTTGCACAAGGCCCTTTATGAGACTTCAAAAGGCGATAAAAGGCTCTTAGTGCAACAATGTCCGATTATCGGTTTTTTTTTTTTTTTTTTTTTTTTTTTTTTTTTTTTTTTTTTTAAAGACCCTAGCGTATAGGATGTGTATCTTCCGTTCGTGTATCAGTTTGGATCTTGTGATGCGCTAAACATGATTTGTAGAGCAAGTTTTCGTGCTTAAGGGAAGTCTTCGTAGTATAAACTGAGAATTGAAGACGCTTAATCATTTTGGGTCCTCGCATAAGAGCTGCCCGAGTGCTCGCCGAGCGACCGCACCGGCCGCGCTGCAGGTGCGGAGCGAGCGTTGCTTGCCGGAGAGTCAAAACGCCTTCAACTCCGTGTATATGCAACGCGGACATCCGTGGAGTTCGAATAGTTGTATCTTGTATCCAGGCGCTATGCTATAATGAGGTTCGTGTTTTGTCGCATGTAGGTAATACTGACGGAGGACGCTTCGCTTGTTTCTTTTACATCTCAACTTAATTTCAGCGTCCTCTTCTGTGCCGATATGAAGTTGATCACCGATTTTCATCGCGACCCTGTCGTCCCGATGAATATAATGATCGTTTAAAATACATGCATGTTCGAGCATGATTTGCAGACTGCAGAGTTTCCTTCCATGAACTTCTATGAACGAGGTTTCCTTCGTTTGGTTCTAGAAAAATACTCTTGATGTTTAATAAGTGTGAATAATTTTCAAAGAACAATCCTCGGGGCTGACCTATGAAGTCCCAGGCATAAAATCCTATTTAAGGCGTTAACAAAATTCACGAATATGTATCTTTACTTTTTCCTTTTTACGGATTTGTGCTTTTGGAATGAGTTTCGACACTCTTTCCTTGCGCTATTGGGCCACGTATTCATCATTTTTAAGGGTTTGTGCTTTTGGGTAGGTACCGCCCACCGTATGACACCAGCAAACTTCACACATTGAGAGGAAAAAGTGAGCTCCAGAGCTTAATTTTTTCTTATGGTGTTCTCTAAGACTACCTAGTTTAGGTAAAATTTCGATTTGTTCAAAAATTTCACTTAACTCTCCCATGTGCTACCTTTTAAATTATCAGAGCTCGGAAAATTGTCAGTCTTTTGGCACTGTCAAAGTGTCACGGGACAGATCATTTTTCCATTCATTAACAGATGCGTGTGATACATCGATAATTTCCGGGAATTCAAATCACTAAGAAAATTCACATCAAATTTTCAGAGAAAATTCACATCAAATTTTCAGAGAAAATTCACATCAAATTTTCAGAGAAAATTCACATCAAATTTTCAGAGAAAATATACTATTAATCCGCAGTGAGAGAAGACATTTTAAAATGAACCTATGCAACCAAACTCCGAAGAAAGATATAGGCTATCATATGATAGCCTATACTTTGGCAATGATATTGCTATCATCAGCAGTAGATATACCACCAATCCGCAGTGAGTGAAGACATTTTAAAATTAACCTATGGCAATGATATTGCTATCATCAGCAGTAAATATACCACCAATCTGCAGTGAGTGAAGACATTCTAAAATTAACCTATGCAACCAAGCCCACCATCAGTACCATGGCTAGCATTTGTACCTTACTTCCCTTTCTTCCTCTACACTTGATGTTTTCAGTTCTGAGAGAAGGCGGTATCAGAAACAATGTCTCAAGGAGCATTTTGAAATTACGGAACGTACTGTTTCGATATTTTGGATGCCCTCCCCTCCTTCCTTTGTAACGCCTCGTAACGCAACCCTTGACCCCGCCTAATAATCACGTAACGCTTGACGGGCCCTCCTTCCCTTAACATCCCAAAAATTGTGGGAAAACCTCATAATACGTAGCTGAATGAAATTATTTGAAGTGCACCTATTTTTAATGATACTTCGGCAAATAACGCCTGTTTATCAGCGAAAGATCGCGGGACATTTCTTAAGATTTTTTGTGTTTTATTACTAATAGAGAGGGTTACGTAACGCTGGCACTAACCCCCCCATCAGAGCATTACGTAATTTATCAACACTCCCTACTAATAGTAAGTCACTTTTTAATCCTACCTTGGTAAAAATTGGCAGTAGAATCTGTGTTCCAAAATACCATAGACCTACAGCCGGCTGTAAGATTTCCAATAGCTTCTATAGCCGGCTACACAATTTTTTAAAGTAACAGTCAGGCGATTAAGTGTTTGCTGAACGTTACTAATTACGGATGCTAGGACTTAGTGTGTTTTTGGACTACTGCTCTCTTTTTGGGCCATAGAACCTTGATTTATTTTGCGAGGAAAGCTCCGTACTTTTGATGGATGCCTTCCATTCCTAATATACTAGAGCTCCTTCAGATTCGTATGATACTGTGCAATACCTCTGGTGTGAAATAGTTGCTTCAAGCGCCGTGGCACGCTGCGGCGCGGCAGGCGGGCAGCCAGCGCGAAACGCGCATTGGCGCCTACAAACCTAACAGGGATACTTCACGCGTTGCGCAATGCGTGAAGTATCCCGTTAGGTTTGTAGGCGCCAGTGCGTCGCCTTTCCGCTTTGTGTCAGGCTCTAACATTTAATCTGGTGGAGTCAGCGTTTTTCAACTCATGATTTTAAAATGTTTGCACGCTCTGTATGGATTATTCTCATTTTAATTGATTAAAAAAAAAATATGTATTAAGGGGAAACGTAATGTGTGTTTCGTAAATATTAAGGTGGTTCCGTATCAAACCTAATGATTTCCAAAGCACACGAATTTCTAACACAATCTCTTATAGCCTTTCATAATCGATGGCGAAAAAGCAACAGCCATGCAGGCGATAAACTGTATAGTCTGGCGATAGGAACTATAGCCCGGCTGCATAATTTTTTATAGCTTCGTTTAGCCCGGCCGTATGATTTTCTCCGCATTCTACTGTCAGCTATATGATTTTCTGTAGCCTTCTTTAGCCGGCTTTAAGAATTCCTATGGTATTTTGAAACGCAGCTCTTATCGCTAATTTTTACCAGGGTAAAAATTTCCTGAAATTGCTCCATGTCTTTCTTTCAGTACACTTCATTGACGTCGATAGAGCCCTTGTTCTTGATCAGTTATGAAATTACCTCGTTTTAACTTTGACCCCCTTTTTCTCCACCTGAATATCCGATTTCAAAGATTGTGAGTGTTCTGGACTCAGGAGGTAATTCTCTTCAACCCTGAGAATATTTTGACGATCGGGCTGACGTTGGAAGTACCTGGTTTTGGGTACGGTCCTTTTTGTCAAAAAACGGATCAATCACGCCTTTGGGCACATTTTTCTGGAGGATTTCCTCCCCAAAGGAATCTATTTTGTAAACCCTGAAATCAGCCGTTCGATTTCACTAATCAAATGTATTACTACGCATTTGCGTACTTTCAGCTTTATTTCCGAGCTTACAAGCTAGATTTTTTGGGAAGCAAAGTAGTAATAGGTGATATTTTTTCTCCGTCTCCCCCACAGTTGTCTGTATGGAGC